ACCATTGTTTCACCTCGGAAGGTCATACTTGCTAACTAGATTTCTGATCCTAAATCCAAACCCCCTAATGTTTGCTTCCCAAATCAAACAAGTAAAATGATTTCGGCAGCATGAGGGTCATATGGAATTGACATCTCAGCGGAGGACAGTTCACAGAACAGATTCGGTACTTTTTCTTTTGGCCAGGCAGTGTTCGCAGACGAAATGACAAACGCTACAGAGAGTGTTGGGACGACGGTTCATTGAATGCTCTTCGAACGCACATGCTTGCAATTTGTCCCATACGTGCACATTATTGCAGGTAATGTCGGACATCGGCACAGTGAGAGGACACGGGACTCGACTACATTTCCTAGAACATAACTTTATGATGTCGATGCAAATAACGCACACTGCAATCCCCATTACATTTGTGTAGATCTTACCGCTCTTACCTCGAAGCACTTGGTTTTCTGCAACCTGCAATGTGTTGTTATTCTATTTAATGCCACGAGATCACGGTGTTCGCCGAGCGGCTGGTGTGCAGGCGATGGGGAACCCAGGCATCGCGAGCGAGAAGAAGAAGAGGAGAGCGAGGAGAGGCCCCTTCACGAGCCTCAGCTTCTCGGCGAGCCTCCCGGGCGACGTCCGCGGCGCCCTCGCGGAGAGCATTTGCGCGGTGAAGTACTCGTCCGACCCTCTTGCTGACTTCAGGGAGTCGATACTGGAGATGATCAGAGACGGCGGCGTCAAAGACTGGGAGGAGATGGAAGAGTTGGTCTACTGCTACGTCGTTCTCAATTCATCGGACGTCCGCTGCTTCATCGCGGATGCATTCCTCAGTGTGTGTTCTACTTGTCTTCAGCTCCCATCAGGGAATGATCATTAGATGTTTTCTACGCATTTTAGATGACTGACAACACCACAAAGGAAGTGATCGTTCCATCTATCCAAACCATGAATGATGTGAAGGAATCTTCAACGAAGACGGCAGAGCTAATAATAAGCGATGCTTCAAACTTCTGATTGACTATCTACATGGAAAATTTCTCCACAGCATCTTCAGACTTGTATATTCTTTTTGATGCTTTCTTGAATGGCTTCACGACGACCTCTCGGATACAATCTGAATCGGTTCTTTACCAACTCCTGCCAGATTAATACAGCATCAGCAGATAACATTCATTCGGCATTTTGCCGTCAGGGTTTGTGCCCTTTGCTGCGTGGGGGTGAAATGACTACTCTGACAGCCAAATCGTTGTCGTCTTCTCCTGTCTTGACATGGGCAGAGTGCCAAATCTGACGCAGAAGCAAAGCGGACAGCCGAGAAGTGAATGATCAAGCTTTGTGAACGTTATCATTAGGCAAACAGTGTCAAACCTTAGACATCAATTTTAAAGGCATCCAATCCACCTACCGATCCCTTATGCAAACAGAAGAAGGATTGCAGCAAGGTTGACTAATGGCTAAAATTCTGTGACTGGTGGCGCACAAACTCTGTATCAATTCTACTAAATTGCCTCCTAGACAAATGCAAACAACAGCTATGGTTGCTAGATGACATGATTGAAGCGTCAGGAAATTGGAGTCATCATGGAACCCCACTATACCTTGCAACCAACATTGACAGGCTTTTCGAATGCCATTATCTCTTCAGAACCAAGTCAAACAATCTTCTGATCTCCCTCACCCACCCACCCTGACAACAACCCTTCACCTCTGAAGTGCTTGCATGACCCATTCACCCTCCCCCTTCTTTGTGTGTGTCTCAACATGAATACACAGTGTGGCATAGATGTCCACTCCAAGCAAGCAGATGGACCTCCTCGTCCGTATGGTTTCCTGAGGCCGTAAGCTAAAAGGCCACCCCAACCAACCGGGAGAGTAATAAAGAAAGTGCAGCAACTGCTTCAACAGCTGCGGAGGGAGGATGGTGGTGGGAGGAAGAAGAGCAGAAGAGATTGCGACGACGACGCGACCCATGTCTCGTTTGTTCTGAGAGCAGATGAATCATTTCAACATCGGCAACGAAGCATGAAGAACATCGAGAAGTTGTTCTTCACGTGCACCAGATGGCAGGTCGAGGAAACCATCGATCTCATCAACTGCCCTTACCATTACTTCTGCGACAGCGCCTACCGAGGCGACTACTCTCCCATCGTCGACTTGCTGGTGCTCCTCTTCGCCGTCTCATCTTTCTTCTCCGCCACGGCCTTCACCCTCCGGGAATTCAGCCTCAGGCGAAGCCGAACGGAGCCCAGCATCGGAAGCTTCAAAAGAAGGCATCTGTTGCCTTCAGGTCCGATTGCACTTACTCTGGTAGTCCTAATCTTTGCGAATGGGCAAAGGATCAACACCATATTCCCTCTCTCGCGCCTCGGCCCAGCTCTGCTCCAGCTTGTTTACTTCTCAGCTCTGGCTTTTAGGAATCGAGCGGAGACCGACATCAAGTATGGGGTACTCGAAGCCTCGACTGTGTCGGGGATTCTGCATGCGAGTCTGCGCCTCGACTCCATCATCTTGCCTTACTACACAGGCTTGGAAGCTCTGACCGACTCCTACTTCTCTGGCGTTTGCACAACGTGTGTGTGCCGAAGAAATGCTTTGGCGGCAGGAGGGAGCAGCGTTGCGTACAGAGGATGGTCCAAAACCACAGTGTTGATAGCCACTGCTCTTTGTTCGAGGATGGCATGCAGAATTGTCGGAGAACAGAAGGTGGCATTGTCGATCAGGCTGACACTCGAAGGTGTCAGCTGGCTGTTGATGGCGAAGGACTCCTTCGACCTGATGCTGGGTGTTGTTCCACAGGGGAGTCTGCTAACGACGGTGGTTTATGCCGGGCTCTGCGTTCTGATCTTTCTCAATTTCCTCAGAATGGTATTCAATCTCTCGGTTTCCGTAGCAGAAAAGCATCACAGGAAAGAAATAATAGTTATGTGCCGTAACGATGTTGAAATGGCACGGTGAGCAGAAAAATCATACGAATTACTTGCTTGTAAAATGATTCGTTCATTTTATCGAAAACAGATGCTATGAACTTGTACAGCTTTTGTACATTGAGTTATTGAGAACAGCAAGTTTCTCGATTCAGTTTTTCTCAGTTTCTTCAACTTCATGCTGTTATTATTTCTCCATAGGCCACAAGATCAACAATATATAGATTGATTACACATGCTATAAAAGATCACCATAAATACATGAAAGTATCTATAAAACAAGCACTTTCATCGACCAGAAAATTTTTTTTGAAGTATGAACAATTTTTTAATAGGCTAATTACATATTACCCCTTGTAGTTAGACCTTATTAGCATCCTGATCCCTAGGCTTAAAAAATTTACATTGAAATCCCTATAATTATGAAAGTGAAACAACCGATGCTGATGTCATAGGTTTTACCAACGAAAATATAAAAATATGAGTAAAAAGATAATTTTAACATTCTATATACATTTTTTGTGGTGGCGGACAACAACGTCATTGGGCGTCGCAGGTGACTATTGTGGATGAGAAAGAAGAGCGACGACGAGAGTTGAGGTAAAGGGAGAGAAGAAAGAGGACGACACAAATGGCAACGGCTCTGCATCTACGTCGACGCTGATGTAGATGTCGAGCAGCCCTTTCGCCGCTCTGCATTTGCGTCAGCATCGACGCAATTGCCGAGCGATGCCAACGCATATGCAGATGCAGAGCAACGAAAGGGCCGCTTGGCAACTGTATTGGCGTCGACACAAATGCAGAGCGACCATTTCGTTGCTCTGCATCTGCGTCGACGTCGCTCCGCAACCCCATCCTCCAACTCCAGCCTAGCAAGACAAACTCCACCGTCTCCTCGACCACCTCATATCATTGCTTCATGGTCATCCGTTGAGGATCTACGACTTCTTCACCCGAGGCACCATCGTGGACTTGGAGGAGGATAGGCAAGAGCTAGAGGACAAGAAGGCCTCAGAGTGCGAAGGGGAGGCAACAGGATCGGGATCATAAGAAACGCAAAGAGAGCAAATCAGTTGCGGATCTACACCAGAGATGCGACATCCAACGTCGAGGGAGTGACAAGCGACACAAGTAACCTGGCGAATGTGACGAGCCACGAGGAAGTTAGCACCATGGACAGACGCGTGCCAAGCCCAACTAAGGAAGGCCGCGTATAGCTTGTAGTAGACTACCACCCTTTCACTACTCTACATATGCACAATGTCGATGCAGATGTTGAGCGGCCTTTTCACTGCTCTGCATTTGCGTTGACGCTGCTTGACAATTGTGTCGACGCCGACGTAGATGTAAAGAGGCAAAAGAGCCGCTCAACATTTGTATCGATGCAGTTGTCGAGTAACGCCGATGCATAGTAATGACATCTGCGTCATCCTCTTTCTCTCTCTCTTTGCCTCATCTCTCGTCGTCGCTCTCCTTCCTCATTCACAACAATCACCCACAACCCCCAACAACATCATCATCAATCTTCATCAAAAATATAAGTAGGATATTAAAATTATCTTTTTGTCTATCATTTTTGTGTTTCCGTCAACAAAATTTAGAACGTTAAGATAAATGAAACTAGACGTTTCATTTTCATAACCATAAAGATTTCGATATAAAATTTTTAATTCTAAAATTCAGAATGCTAAAAAAACACAATTTTAGTCATCACCGTCAAAACTAACTGCTGTTGTGTGTTCGTGTGAGAGAAGGGGAGAAGAATCACTGAAATATATATACACTGCAAGCATTGAAAATATGGAGACCCTACCAAAAGATGCAGCATCTCATTTTCTACTACTGGTTCTACTCTAGTGCAGCAGATACATTTCGTCTTCTCGCAGCACCAATAAGCACAATCCATAAGAAGTTCAATTTGAACCGACTAAATTAGCTTTACAAGCACAATTACCCATGACAGCTGAAGTGAGTTCAATGTTGCAATAGAAAAACATTTATAAGCATTTTTCACATTATCTTGACTAGAAAAGTTGTTTGTCTATGTCACGAGGACTCTCATTTTGTCAACTCAAAAGAGTGTAGTTAAATCAGACAAAACTAGAAACATTCAGTCATTAATATAAAATGAAAAGCTTGCTTCAATTCTCTTCTTTTATCAAGAGATTGAAGCTCAAAATCATTCATCAGATGAAAATTGATGAGATGTATTACATCCCATGTGAATGGATTCAAAGAATGAAAATACGAGTCCTGGTTTGCCAGAATTAGAATTACTTGCATAAAAGAATGCAGTCACTGATATTTCTCCGGATCCTATTCTTCGTCCGAGGAACTCTCTGATGAGACTTGCTTGTGATCAACTACGGCAGCAGCTTCCTGTTTGAGAGGAAGAAATTCAATAAGCATTGGAGGACTTGTCAAGGGAAAATTATTTATGATTTCAGGGAAAAAAGGTAAAACCAGAAAGAAAAGAAAAAGTCATGAATTCTATTTCTTACTGGCATTTTGTCCCAGTCCTTCAATTTTGAACTTGTAAGCATGTAATTGTTACGTAATGGGGCCCATCCAAGCTCATTGTTCTTGTCCATGCTTTTAGAATCACAGGACTGCATAAAACATACCACTGTTAATCTAGACCAGCTCATCAAACATGCTACAAGTGCATATTTTGGTAATGTGGATATACCATTTAAATCACATAAAACCTTGATATCTATGACTAGAAATGAAGAGCATTACAAAGACTTGAACATACAAATAATTATAAGCACATCTTTTTGTGTTATTGATGTGTACACTGACAATTTCAGAAATTAAACCCAAAAAAGCTCAAAATAGGAATATACCGTAAGCTCTCAGAATCTTCATATGAACAATTTTTTCAAATATTTGCAAAGTGGACACCAATTTCCCACAAGCACATGCAAGTAATAAGATATCAAAGCTATTTGGAAAACTGTATTATAGTAAAGATTTTAAGAAAATGCGCCCACACACATCATATCCTATGTCCAAACATAACATTCTTCTGATTAATATGCTCAAAAAACAGAATGATTTGCAATTGCATTATTCTTGCAACCGAATTACAAATTCTACCTATTCTAGTTCAATCAATAAGGAAATAGATGTATCATTAAAAGAAAAACTGAGCATCTATTTCAAACTTTCAGATTCAGGATCAACTTATGTTAAACTGTATTCAGAACAGAGTGTAACACCACAAAATACGCAAATTAACTAGTGACAGAAAAGCATATACAATTAGTCAACTCGTTATGATAGCAGATCAATAACAGACAATGGACAAGCAATAAATTTGTGTTCATGGACCAAAACTAACAAAAAGTCAGAAACAAAGTTATTCTAGAAAATTTTACAGATCAACTAGCACAAATGTTACAGACTGAACTAGTCTTGCACTAAAAGATAGCACATGGCTCAAGCACTCAAGCATGAGACCTAAGAAAACATTCTATTTTTAAATTCCAAAACAATTGAAAAATCCTTAACAGCACTGACACTATCATTTTAGATACCCTGATGTAAAAGGAGCCAATAATTAGAATCTATTCAGCTGAACTTGCATGATGATGGCAGAAAAATTGACAGTGTAAATGAACCAAAATTAGGCATTATTACAGTGACTATATACATAACAAATAGTTTGCATATACAAATGCCTCAAAGTATACTGGCCCAGATTAAAAAAAGAGAAACAGCATGCACATGGTGTTGCGTGTATAAGAAACTATATTCTGCAACTATAAAAGTTTCAAGGACAATAATTCATCACATGCCTGTGTTGTTGACTTCTGTAGCTCCGAAAAGAAGGCTTGTTTTCTTTGTTTTGCCAACACTGTTGAAAACATAAGATATTAATCACTGTAGTTTACAAAGAATTATATGAGAAATATCATATCAGAGGTAACACATGACAAACTTTGGTGACATGCTGAACACTACTAAAAGAAACTTTCAAAATTTAACTACTCTGAGAATTACCATCTTCCTGAGTACCAGTTCAACTATAAAAACCAATATAAAGTAGAAACCTTCTTAGCATCAAAATTTTTTTGCTTTTTAATGAAGCCATATTATGTGCACCCAAACAGAAAACTCGATCATATTCAGCTATTTCAATCCACTTCATTTCTTGACTAAGGAAACAAAATCATCTGTCTAACAGAATCTCTAGTGTTCTTTAGTATGGATGTGGATTTCCTCTAGTAAGATGCACGTCATTCAGCTAATGCAAGAAAGCTTAAGCTCTAAGCTGACAACATTCAAAGGTAAAAGATGTAATTTAAACCTGAGTACAATAATGGACTGCACAACCTTGTTTGAACACTTATAAGTTAAATAAACAAGCAAAGACACTAATGCACATGTCATACCTTTCGCATTTTTAGAACCTGAAGGATTTAACCCACTTTGAGAATTTTGTGCCTTACTGACCTGCATCAATAATCTAAATGCTATTGTAAAAACTAGTGATTTCTTTTCATCAAGCACAACATGCTCTGCACAAAAAAAAAGAAGGATTCAACAAACTCATCATGCTTATTCTCTTACCGCATTGAAAAGCTTGACAACTGGTATTTAACCCATAGTTGTTGTACATGCAAGATGAAGAACTTTCAGTTAGAGAGTAACTAAATGAGCAATAGAACGCACAATCCAAGAATAAAATATTTTAATCAGCTATAAAGAACATATTGCCTGTTCTTTAGAAGCCAAAACAAATACCTCCTTTTGTTGCAACGCTGACGAGAAGCTTCTCCCTTGCATCCAGGAAATTAGCAGGCTTTACGTGTCCCTTTTCTGCTTCCTATATTACGGATTCAAGTGAAACTTCGAAGAATACAGACACCAGAATTACCCATCCCTAGTGAAGGCAAAACTAAAGGGCAGGCAACAGAGTAAAAATGCGATCTAATAGCACCAACCATCTGTTTCTCCTTTTTCATTTCGGCTGTTGTCTTATGCTCCGATACCTCTTCTGCAAGCTTCTCAGCGACGAGCTTCTTGTGCGCAGACAATATAGGTCCCTGAGAACAAGAAGCATAATAAACACCAATAAATTCACAAAAAAGAAATCAGTTTTTGGGTTAGAACCCATTTATATGCCTAAAAAACGGTACACCTACAAGGGGATCATCTGGGAGATGCTTCTTCATGATCTTCATAAAGGCTACCCTAAATGCCCTGCAACCCTCAACGAACCTTGTGATCCCATGCTGAGCCCCCTCCCCGTCGTCCTCGTCATCGCCTCCGCTGCCGTCGTCATCCACAACATCCAAATCCCTGTCACTTTCCTCCTCCTCGCTAGACGGCTCTTCGTCACTTTCTTCCTCCTCATCGGAGTGGTATTCCCTGGCCCTCTTCCGGAAGAGCTTCCTCATCTTGCGGCTAGGTTTCCTAGGCTTGGCCGCGGCCATGGATGACGCCTTCTGCTGGACCCTCTTGCTCGGCTTCTTTCCCGTCTTGTGATCCGGCTTCCGCTTTCTAGATACCGAAGCGGCAGCGAGGGTTTGGAGCTCTGCCGCCATGGCCGACGAGGTCCGGAGAAAGGAGCGGTGAGTAAGGTCTTCAAACGAGCATGGTGTGGGGTTTAAGTCGAGAATTTAGGAATAAAGTGGGCCGAACCCAACCCGGCCCACATCAGTCAGGGCGATTTGTTAGTATTAAGGCAATGTAAGCCGGTATCAATCGAACGGGCTAATTATATATTATCCTTGTAATTAGATCTTTTTAATATTTTTATTTTTAAATTTAAAAAAAATTAAAATCTTTATAGTTATAAAAGTAAAACATTCTATCTCGTTTACCCTAATGTCATTAGTTTTACCGATGAAAGATATAGCATGTGACAATATGTATATGAATGATACGAAAATGATAAATAAAAATATAATTTCAATAGTGGTAGTGTCGTATGTGGTTATTGTGGTGGTGGTTGACGACAATAACACGGTGATCAATCTTGCCAAATGTTGATCTGAACATTAACAACAAGAAGCAAGAGGAGACAAAGCGATGAGACATTCTGATAATAAAGAGGAGAGAGGTGAGTTATTCTGGTAATGTAGTGATTTATCAATTCTTCATCATTTTTTAGATTTCTTCTCAAAATAAAAACGAATTATTCTGATAATACAAATACAAATTCTTAATTAATATTTTGTAGCATGAAGCGGACACGCGTTCTCCTTTCCACCACAAGTTGATCGGCCACTTGGGGATGGATTTACCAAACATAAGCTATTCCAAGTCACACGCCATTGATTTAGACGTGTTTTGGAATCATGATTTCGATTATGATGCGAAGCTAAATCGACAGAGAGACGAGTAGAGCCAATGGCTATCCTTCTCGATCAACCCGTGTCGTCTAAGGCAGGTGATATCTGGACCGCAGGAGCCAATCCTCCGCTTCAATATTAGGTGACATCTGGACCGGGATTTCGAATCACGACGTCCCAACACACTATTGTTGGCTGCGGAATCACCCAATTGCATAACATCATTAACTAGCTGTGCACGTCACAGACATTTCATAATAAATGACGGTCTGATCGACGACTCTGAAAATAATTCCATTTCGATCAGCTGATTAAGACAATAGCAGTTCACACGGTGACAGATTCAGTAGGGCAAGCAGGAGGGGCAACAAAGACAAAGCTTCCCCTCCACTAGCGGTGGTGGCTGTTGATGGAAGAGAGAGGCCTGCAGCAGCCGATGGGCCACTGTCATGGCCGCCTTGCTGCTTCCTCCCGTCTTCTCTCTTTCTCTTTCGCTCCATTCCTTTCTCTGTCTCCATCAATAGTTCACTGTGCAGATAGAGTAACAGTAGAAAGTGTTACCCTCTCAGCATCACTCAATTTTGTTTTGGTGGACTAGGAATGGCCATCACTCGTATCATATTATTTTAAGTTAAATAAAATTATATATATATATATATATATATATAATAATTTTTGACTCCGATACTAATCTCAAATTAATATGGGCATCGAAATTATCTCACCAAACGCGCTCTTTGGCATGAGTTAATTTTATAGATGACAATTAAACATATCCGACCGACAATAACAAATAAGGTCAATTCAATTTCATGACATGATATGGATCGATGATTAAGAAGAAGAAGCCATCACTTTGTTGACTAACCGGAAGGCTCCCAAGCAGGATAGGAAGCATTTACCTTTTGTTCCATTTGTGAAGTACCAATTCGAAGCAAAAGTAGGAGGATATTTATGTGCACGGTGGGCAACGAAGACAGAGGTCATATCAGCAGAATGTGGTAAGTTTCCATCTCCATCTTAATTGTAATCATCGAATGCGTCATAATCAGCATCAACATCCTCGCACAAGTGGACAGCTCCCATTGGTGCTTCATCAATTTGCATGCACATCATATGAACCGAGCAATATGAATCTGATGGGAGCTACGGTGAAGCCATCCATCCCATCTTCCCCTTTCATGTTTTATATTACAGACATAAAAATCCACCCGAAACAATCAAATAAAAATGCTTTCTTGCTAGGAATAAGTTGCATTAAGTTTTGTAGATAAAGAACACGCACAGCCAAACAAATAAAAAGTATATAGAGTCAAAACTTATAACAGTATTATCCCACACCATCGCTATCATATCACATAACACTTTGTACATCCTAACATTTCTTCGAACCGGGTTCAGGTTTTCGGATCGATTCGGTTCACGAGGGCCAAGGCAACGCTGGTGACCTGCGCCACCTCCACCACACGCTTGCGGATGGCGGCCCGGATGACCGGGCCAGCGTTCTGGGAGACGCTGTCGAGGCAAGTGTCGGCGTCGGTGAGCGCGGCGCTGACCCAGGTCTGCACGTTGCTGAGGTGCCAGGCGAAGCGGGGGCTCCGGGCGCGCCCCAACCGCCCCATCTCCGCCACAGACTGGCGGAGCTGGTCGACGCTGTCCTGCATAGTCTCCACGCAGTCTTTTACGGCCCCGGCCTCACGGGACCGCGCACCGGCCGACGTCCGCCTCGCGAAGGCCAAGGCCGCCCGCGCCTTGTCCACGCTCACGGAGAGGGCGGCCAACGCCACCCCGCGCGGGCTCCGGCGGATGGGCAGCTTGTAGGTCGAGAGGCAGCGCTCGCAGAGGCGAGGGTACTGCGTGACCCGGCACGAGGAGCGGATGAAGTCGCTGGGGGCGCCCACCGGGGCCGCGGTGAGCGCACCGGCGGAGGCGAAGAACGCCGCGGCGATTAGAACGACGGAGAGTGGCGCACAACGCTCCATTTTAATCTCCTCCTCTCCCTCGCAACGTTTCCTCCTCCTCTGTTTTTTATTGGATTTATTTGTGCTCGGAGTCGGGCGGCCGGAGGAGTTTATATACAAAGAGGCGAGGTGTGGGTGTCACGTGATATGTTATTATTATTGTTACAACTTAATTTTTTTAGGACGAATTAATCCCTTTTTTTTCAGAAAGTATCTCTATTTTTATAATTTCTTAATAGTGTATTTTTTCAACGAATTATTGAAAAAAAGAGTAAAATAGTTATTTTAAAAAATATTCTTTAGGAATTTCTTAAAATTAGGGTATTATCTAGAAAATTCTCAAACTTAAAGAGTTTTTTCCGAGAATTTACCCTTTTTATTAATAGCTAAATAATTTATTTTCTCTCTCTTCTCCAATGAGTCGACCCATAAGATAAATCGGTTCGATTATATTATTTTTATGTTGTGTTATATTATTTTCAACAATGCCACATAAAACACTATAACACATTATAAAACATATGTTATAATTATTTTGTATAAATTTATAAAAATGATATTATGTTATAGTGTTTTAAGCAATACTTATGAAACATTATAATAAAAAAAATATTATAATCGGATCGATTCACCCTCCTATGAGAATCCATCCATAAAAAAAAGGAAAAGAATGAGAGGTACAATGGTAGATGGTTGGGGGTATTACCAAGTATTAGGTAAAAAAAGTGATGTTATTGAAAAATTTCGAAAATGAAAAGCACTTCTCAGAATAAAAATTTCGAAAAAAGAAGATTATTTTTAGAATTCGTCCACTTTTTTTATAACAGTATGTCAATGTTGAATTTTTTTAAATGATAAATAATAAAAATGAATTCTTTCCGATCTAACAAAGGTGATGAACCTAACAAGATACTCGGGATCTTCAAATTTTTATCGAATAAAATTTAAATCCTCATCCTTAATTAGTGGTACTTATATATCATCGAATTATATTGATCAGAAGGTGTTAGTTAGCTTAGTAAAGATTTTAACAATTCATCACAATATCTTATGCTCGAACGCAACTTACCCTTTGGAGAAAAAAACACATTGATCAAATTCATATCTAATAAAGAATTAAAGGATCATAATATTTCCATATTTAAATTGGGCATTGGATTTAAACACAACCTTATTTATTGATAGGAATGAAGATGTACATAATACTTTAGTACTATATGGCTAACACCTCGATGTCACCCAATCAATATATAACCGACATCTTTGGGCTACGAGCCTGACATGCATTAGATACCATAGAGTCATATAACTAACATGTGGTCGATACCTCGATATCACAAAGATGAAATCACGATATTTTACAGCCAAATTGACCACGTTGTTATTATGTCCTGGATTTGATATACCATAATACTACAATCACAATGAAGCCTGAGATCAACAAATAGCTACTCCTTATAATCGGTGTTCATCACAAGAGTAATGATCACATGAGCCCACAAAAAAAAGGCTTCTAGGTGCCTTGGATATTTCAAGATTAGCCTAAGAATTCATTCTAATTTTTTCAAATCATAAGTAACTTAAGCATTGGAGGGGTATTTGTTGACAAAACCCCGATATAGTTTTGTAGCATTCTACATCCTCAAAATTGGGCGAACCAAAATTCGATCGAAATTGAATTGAGACTATAGAAAAAAAAGCTTCTAGCTCGGACACTCAACAACCGGTTTAACATTTATACAATACCTTCAAAGATCATAATATTTGTACTTATAAAAACCTAAGTTTTCCATGTACCATTATAATTATTTTTTACTAATTGAAATTATAATTTATGTAAAGTTAATAGTTAATTATAATTTATAAATATTAGATACATTTTAAATATTTTATATTTTGATTTATACATTTATAATTCAAACAAAATAATCTTAACCATAAACGAAAATAATCAATCTGAATTTTCCTAATGGACATTAACAATGGTCATGTATATATATGCTATATTTTAAGATATATATTTAAGCTATATCAATATGTATAATTACATGTATACTATTAGGAGACAAATTGATAATGTCATAATCACAGCCTGACATGGTTTGAGTTTATATACAAAGGAAGGATGAGCTGTTGCCGAGGTATCTTTAGAGCTTCTCGAAATTCGATATAGATATACTCATATGCTCTAAGGATGACTTACATGAAGACTAAGGTTAGATGTTTATTTTTCGATTTGATCCTTTCGACACTCAAGTTAGTTCCAATGTGGATAGGTAAAAATAACAAACAAGTATACTAGTTAAAATAGCTTTTTATCTTATCATGCAAAAAATAACTTTATATACTGAGTAAAAATGAGAGAATATTCTCTAAAATATTTCACAATCGAACAACCCGTAACCACTCTTTTTTAGACTTGTGTCCACGAAGGTAGTCAGGGGAGGCAGCCCATAACGAGCTCGTCTAGAGAGGTCCGAAAGTGCAACCATTAAGTAATTTGACATGTGGGCTATGTGAAAGTGGAGGGAGATTTTGAATGCCTGATTGTCCTTGTAAGGTCATTAATTTACTAAGAAAATCAAGTTGGGATTGAGCACTCACCAAAAGGGTTAGGTTGGGGCTAACCAACCTATGCACCTCGGGCATTCTTCGTGAATATCGGGTTGGGTTTGGTGAATCTACACATTTCGAGCATTTTGCCCTGGGCAATTGTCCCCTAAGACGTGCCTTTGAGATGCTCACCCTCATATGGGCACATCGAGTGTCGTTCAGATACTCACTCCCAATAAGGGTGGAGCAAGTATTTTTGGGCGCACACCCTCATAAGGGCACATTGAGTGTTATTGAGATGCTCACCTCGAGATGGAAGTATTAGGCATATTTGAACACTCAATCCTATAAGGGCGTATCAAGGGTTATTGAGATGATGCTCACCCCTAAAGAGGATACATTGGGTATATTTTGATACTCATCTCAGTAATAGCACAGTAAGTGCCATTTATATACTCACCTTTGAGAAGGGCACATCGAGCATTTTTGAATACTCACACTGATATGGGTGCATCGGGTGCTATTGAGATGCTCACTCTCGAAGAGAGCGCTTTGGATATTTTTGGATACTCATTCAAGTAGGGGTGTGTCACGTGTTCTTTGAAGTTGACACACTATTAACATTTCATTAATGCTTCTTTAATGTCTTAGAGATCCAAAAAGACACTTGGGAATTAAACGTGCCTCTTCAATTTCAAGAGAGTTAATGCAACTGATATCCGACGGGGTATTTGAAAGTTAATGTGGGAACTAGGGTACCAGCCCATAGTATAAATCTCCTCTCAGTGAATATAGGGCTCATTTCTTACCTCCAGTTTCCTATAGCCATTATATCTCCTCCTTCCGAAGCATCTCGACCTCTCGAAACACCTCCTCATTTTCTTCAAATTAGGATGTCCTTTCTCTCTCATACAAGTTCTTCTCAGTTCCTCAATTGACAAATGACCAAGGAAATTGAAGTCATATCCTCTAACAGCTCAGGGTTAGGATGGATCCCAATCTACTCCTCCTCAGGAGGTGGACCTCGAGACTTAGAAGTCATGAAGAGTTCCTACTATTTTGATCTTAAGGTCTTTGGATCACTTGTGGACCAGTTATTCTATATTGATCGAGTTTAAGATATAAATATCTCAATCGGGCCACCGTCCATATAACCTAATATTTAGGTTTCTTTGCCTATCTTCGGATGTGCTAGAGGTTTGACTTCGATTTCCCCTCCACCCACTAATAGTGGCATGCTTCAAATGGTAGAGGATCTCTCTCCTAAATGGCACCGAGCTCATAGTATTACCTCATGTTATTAATTAGGAAATGTTATGTTGGCATCTATACCCTCGAGATGGAGATCCCTAAAGAACCTCGGGCTCTTAAGGCTCCTCGAGGAGGAGAGGAGGCAAGGTAGAGGTCAGTGCATGAGCTCTATAAGAGCAAGGTGTTGCCTTTCATAGTGTTGAAGATGGTCAGCCTAACAGATCTAGTTCTTGACGAGGATCTTCACTCAATGAAGGATAACTTGCAACCCAACTAGGCTATTTGGGATGAAAACAAGGCATCGAGCCAATATTATCAAGGCTCACTATGCCATGACATAGCTAAGTAGGTCTATGCATGGTCCTTAGAGGTCATGATTTATGTAGCTTTCCATAATAAAGTAGTGGTAAGTGCCTAAGTTGTAGATTAGACTTCTACTTTTGTAACATTATCACTATGTCATGGGTCTGATTGACCACGTTGATGACATTAGGAGTGTCATCTCCACAATGAGTAGAGGAGCTGAGGAGGGAGAGGGACGACTTAACCCTTATCGTGCGGCTCGAGGCTCGAATGGTCGAGTTGGAGGTGAAAATAGATGAGGCCCAATAGCACCTCACCAACCAAGACGAACAACTGAACACGGTTTAGGCAAACAATTGTCAAACGGAGAACGAGTCGCTCTATTAGGTTGACGAGCTCAACTCTATAAGAACTTACAATGCCAAGCTCCACAACTAGATCACTGTGATGAACAAGCAAATAATAGCTTGATCGAGCAAGTGGCTATGATAAACGATCAATATAATTCCTATGTGTTGGTGAACAGATGTGTCGTGGTTGATGAGTCAGCATAGCTTGGTCCATGGATCGATGTCGGGAGTCTTCTGTCGACTGAGTTGGATGTCGAGGTAGGTAGGGCCCTCGCGGTGGGATGTTGATCATCGTTTCTCGATCCGAGCACCGTCGACTAGTGTAACATTCTCTGTAGACATTCCCTTGGCGAATAGGAGCTTTCAGAGATCTTTAAATGCAGGTGAAACAACCAAACAAAAAAATTCTCGTTCTTTATCTATGTATCATATACGGTGTATCGGTATACTATAATTTATCATAAATTATCGAAAGAAAAATAGAAAGGAACGAACAAATAAGAGAAAGCAAAGGAAGAAGAGAGGGGAGGAAGCATACCAAATTAATGTAGATGACGTTTGATGGATGGCAAAGCAGGCAGGTAGTAGCTGATGACAACATTATGCATGGAGAGAGGGAGAAGTGGCGTGCCCTAATCACAACTTGTGACCTCTCTTTAAACAAGCTTTTAATGGTTGAGGTCAGACCACTCATAATTGGGATGATCTGCCTCTTGATTCGAGTTTGAACTGCAAAATTTACTTGGTATGAATCGAGTCGAATCGAACCGAATGAAATTATCATCACTGATAATAGTATATGTTGTCAGCATTATTACTCTTAGAGTTAATGAAATGTGAGGTAGAAATAGATGTCTTGATATCATAAGGCGAGTTATTTTTTATTATTACATCGGTTTAAGATTTAGGAATGTAATAAAGCTTTCAAATTGATACATGCTATATAAAAGAGGTGAAGGAATTCAAGGTGATAAACTTCTACCCAATGTTGAACCAACTAACTTTTTAGATATTATTAATATCATAATCTTGGTTAATAAAGATGTTTAGTCTCATCGATTAAGGAATAGAAAGACCAATACCTCACAAGGTTTGGGATTTATCTATATCCCTTGTACATTTAGAGGCATCTTTTGATATCTTGATATCTATCGTGAAATGACAAATCCATATAGTTCTTTTCCAAGAAGAGTGTTTTGTCATAGATCCATGTACTTGTGCTAACGAAGATAAATTATGACTTATTAGATTATATTCATTGTAGAGCTTAAGATATCTCAGACTTCCATGTTGGGGGGAGGGGTGATTAAGTAACAATAGTTCTAAGGCCTCGTATCTTGATAATGCCAATTATGGGCTCAAGAGGTCTTTAAATGTCGACTTAGATTATTATCATCGTGGAGCTTAAAAGACCTCGACTCTTAGAAGAGAAACAATTAAGCAATAAAGAAATCAAGACCTTTATGGATATATATATATATATATATATATATATATATATATATATATATCACGTTGAGAAAGTACAACTATACTAAAGCCATCTAAAAACAGATAAATTCACACTCATGTTGATGATGGCTTAGGGATAATGAGATAGAATATTTCAATGAGATTTCATACCTAGTTATAAAGGGATATAATATTTCATGCGAGGAAGCAACCTCTAATCATCTCCAATAGTCTTCTTTTGACATCTTATCTACGTGAGGAATAAAAGGGGATGGGTGTAACTCATAACCATTTGCTTTAGATCCTTGCCCACGTGGGTAGACGAATGGAGGATGATCTTCTTCTTCTTCTTTTATCTTGGTTATCATGTGATGATTACATACCAGATAAAGATTGGCTTCTTATACTCCACGATTATGCTAATATAGAAAACATAGATTCTTTATCCTCTGAAGATACTATCTTAACATTCAGTATTTCACATAGATGTCTTTTTATACTTATATTCCCTATACTCAAAGTATAATAATCTTAATCTTCCGTATTTCATATAGAAATTTTCATCTATTTAGATTTATTGTCCTCCAAAATGGAAAATGAATGTTTCATCGAGGAATTCCTTCTTGCATCAATTACGAGAACACCCCTACTGTAGACTATTAATTACAAATTTGTCCTCTCCATCCGACGGCTAGCGTTCGCCTAAAACGATCCCGGCTTCAGAGGCCATGGACGTGATTAAGGGGGCACTTCAGGTTTCCCAAGTTGAGGTGTGATGGCAATTATGTTATTATCTTCGCTTCCAAGTCTATTTAGTAGCGAACTCTCTTTCTATATAAGATGCGGCCTCGGAACCCCAGCTTTCTCCTCCTTTTTCCCGTCTCCTCTCTCTCTTGCTCCCCTTGCTACCGTCTTCTCTCCCGCCCCTTGTCCTTCGATCGGGTCCTTCTCTTGAACTGGGTCTTCTCTCGATCTTGATCCGTCTAAGCTTGCTTGGCGTGAGACGGAGTGCCGCCATGTCGAGATCCCCAGCGAAGCTTGACGTGCCGAAAAAGCGGAAGGAGCCCGAGCCGTCGTCCGACAGCCCCCCAACCGAATCGGCGGCAAACGACAAGCCGTGTCCACCGCCGACGGCGCCTCGGCCTATGCCTCGCGATGCAACAATGTTGCTCGCTGGCTGCCTGGCGCACGAGTACCTCACACGGGGGACGCTCTTTGGTGAGTCGTTGAAGCCGGAAAGCGGCTCCGACCCGGGCCCGGCCAAGCCGGAGAGCCCAGCGCACGCGGAGGCCTCCATCCCAAAGGCAGACGCGGATACACCCCAGGCGTCGTCAACCCCACCCAGCTCGCCTGCTGGCTCCGGGTGCGAGTGAGTTTGGCGTAGGCCCGAAAGCATCGGTGGTTCCTCCTCCTCCTTGTCGCGTCCGGTGAGTGACCCAAAACAATGCCGACCATGAAAAGAAAAGATCAAACGGGAGATTCCATCTATATTACACCGTTTCTATGATCCATCTCTCTTCTAGATCAACTTGTTTTTTGTTATCTTCTCATCGACGATGGTTTTGCTTGCCACTATGGATTTCTTCGCTCTGCCTACCGTCTCATCTTTCATCCCTTTTGCCCTATTCTTGAATCATGATGATGAGTTAGAGAATATACCGTGTCTGTTTCTTTTCAAGCACCACCTGTTTGTTGCTGGCAGGGGATCGTTTTATCTTTCTGCTTCATTTCCGTTGTAGTAACAGTCACCCCATGTGTTGATAGAGAATTCTATTTAGCGAGTCGATAAGGTATACCCATAGAGACTAACATCTTGGACCATTGAATAGTCTATTAGCTTTCATTTCAACACACTCTGGAGGCATTTCGTCGATCAAGAAAAAGGCATATCGAGACTATATGAAGCATAATGACAATGGTTTGATATTTACAATTTCATGCCCATTTCGTTCATAGACTATATGAAGCATATTATTGTAGCACGCCTAATCACATTACTAATTCTGTAGTAGATGTTTGCTACTTGCTCCATATACAACAACCATAAGCGGTCGTAGGTACATTACTATTGTTCATTAAACGTCCTAAGGCTTGCCAACGATAGCTCGCCAAGCCTGCTTTAAGGGATCAAAGTGTCCAACAACATCTGACATCTTTTGTTAGCATTCCTTAATACTAGAATTACATTTAAAATAAAAAAAAGTATTTTGATATTTATTATTCTCATCAATTAAACTACTATTATTTTTCTTTATTCTTTCTCTTCGTCTGATGTTTTGATTTTAGTAGAAAATAATTTTCAAAAAATTATTTTGGAAAATAGTGAAAGCCATAAAATTGATAGGGACTACACATTAATTATATTTATATACGTGTAAATTTGCTGAAAATTATTTGTCTGATTTGGTCACTTCTCAATTAATAGTTCCGTCGGGCTCGACCGCACCTAATTACGAATTGGACCGCGACTTGGTTCGGTGGACCGGACTAACCGTCCTGGTTGTGCTTCTTTATTCCCATGCGCGTCGATGGTCCAATGGCTCTAATCCACCCTTAAGCGTTGAAGAGGATCCCAACTCCCCAGCTTTGCCCTCCGCCGGCTAATCCCGTCCGGATCAAGTTTTGGCCCGTCGTTTCTATTCCTTTCTTCCTCCGCTTCGCAAAGATGTCCGACGCCGAAGAGGCGAAAGCCACCGGTTCCTCGCCTTCGGCGGCGTATCCGATGGCAGTCGATAGCCTCGATGATGAAGTCAGTTCGCCTTTTCAGTGCTGCGTATGCTTGTGAGCAATCTGTCCTCGACCGCCAATCTTTGATCGAATCTTTAGTCTTTGCGTTCCCTGTGGGATTCCGAATTAAGTTATGAGATTAGAACCTTTTGTCGCCATTCGAATCATAAATTCTGGGTTTCCGGTTTTGAGGTTTTCTTCTGAGTGAAGGAAATTAGGGCTTTTTTAAATAAATTTCGCGATAAGTCGATGCGACAATCACAGATCTACAAGGTGCGATTGATTGTTACGTGATGAATGGATCTAATTGTATGAAGAGATACCCAAACCTGTTCTTTGCTTTCCAAAGTAGCATTCATGGTCTTGCATTATATCTGATCGACTAATTGCCTAGGACGAAAATTTTTACGGTCCTTAACCATTTTCCTTTATGCTATATTAGACCTTGACGTTTGGTAGAGCTCCTTCAGGGTAGAAGTTCTGGATGAAGGTCTATTAATTAGCTTATTCATGAAATTTCATTATCCTTGAAAGAATTAAATGTTTGGTACCGAATTGTGTTGTTCTTGTAGGAAATAAATGGTGGTTCTTTAAAACTGCTAATTGTCTAATTTGGGGTGTCATTATCCATGAAAGATGTGATTTTTTTTCTTCTATATTAACGTTGTGGTTGTTGGCTTGTTGCACTAGTCGGGTATCATCCAATTGCTCGATTTTGTCATAGGATAAGCTGAAGGAACTTAAATATATCTTGTGCTATTTAGTTCTTGGCTAATGAGTGAGGTTTGTAGCACATCTGTACTTTGAGAGCTCGGGGGAAAAAAGTGGAATCAGGGTCTTAAGTTCTCTGAAGATAATTTGACTCAAAATTTGGTTTAACAAAGTCATTATGTGCTTCCTATTATCTCAAGAACGAAAAAAATTTATGTAGCCAACATTTGACTTATTGCTGTATTATGTACTTCTTTTACAATATGTTGTCACTGAACATTCAAGTGAGTTATTGTTGGGGATAAACCAAAGGAAATCTATGGTGAGTTTGACAGTTTGTCTTGTATCTCTCAATCATGGTCCTATCCTGATAAACACCTTCCTAACAGTCTATCTACGTAATGACCAACCTTTTTATATTTTTTCATGATCAGTGAAGTGTTTTGTGTTGCCTTTCAACATTCCAAGCAACACATATACCTCAGATGATAAACCTGCTTGGTTTTTCCTTCTCTTTTTTGTACATAAAAGGAAAAGTGGATGAAACAGGGGATATGTGTGGGTGTGACTGAGTGGTATGTGTTGTCACCCTTTTCAAATATCCTAATTCCATGTCTTAGGAAGTGGCTGTGACAATTTATTCAGATTTTTATTGATATGCTTGATGTATTAGCTAAGGGTAATAATTGTCTCTTGAGAAGATTTTCCTGAAACTAGTAAGCTCTATCTTGCTCTCTCTTAATCAAATACCAAGTTTGGTGACCAGAAAGGCATAATCTCGGAATGCCTCACAGAGTTACAGAAACATCTGGTATTTCCAACAAAGGCCACAAAATTAGCTCTTTTCTTCATGTTTCAAAGGAGTTGCTCAGACATTCCACGTGGGCATTCTGAGGCTCCCTGTAGGACATATTATATGTTTAATTTGGAATTTAGCACAGGGAATTGTAGGTCTCATTAAGATCATGTTGGTGGAGCACAATTAAGAGGGTGGAGAAGTCCATAAAATTGAAAAAAATGAAGACAAAACAGACATGATGATCATATTTTATCCATTCAGGAACTATACACGAGCTTATATTGTTTTCAAAAATGTTAATTTTAAGTAGTTGTTACTGATGGATTTATTTTAATCTAGAAGTGTCGTAATTGTATCTATGGGCTTCTCTGAATAAAGTCCTTGCTGTCCTTTCAACCCTAATGAATACTTGTTTCTGTTCTCATTCTATTTCTTTGGCTGTTGATGAGGATTATTTATGTGTTCTTTTTGCATTTTCTCTTGTGAAGCCTGATTAGGGATATTGGATAAAGTACACAGTTACATCACATCTTGAGTAGCTTGGACACCATATGACATGATATACCATAATGAAAAATAATATGTACTTACATATCATTACAAATAATATCAAGTAATTAATTAGTGCCTAATTATTCATAACAGAAGGGACTATTTTAGTTAAATGGAAATAGTGCCCAAAAAAAAACAAAAAAAAAAACAAGAACTTAAACAATGAGTTGGCGTCCCCCCTCATTTCAATATGTCAATACAACATACTGCATTGTATTACTGAAAACTATTAAACAATGAGTTAAAATTTTAGTATACTTGTATTTTATTGCATGTTCATAAGCAATTGCACCGGCATGGCATGGTAAATGAATGATACTCTGATTCCATATCTTTAAATTCTTCTTTGTTATTAAAAAAGTTCTGTAATGAGTTCATATATTGCAATACTTGATCTATGAAAACATGTATGGTTCATCAAAGCTTGAGTTGTAAATTGTTACTTAATAAGCTTATAGTTAGGAATGGAGAAGATTAGCATTCTCTCTGATGTTATTGTTGACAAATTTGTCCAACCTACTATAATTATATAATCTGTTATTCTTCTTGTTATTCTCTAGAAATTTATAGTCAAGTTTTAGTATCTTATTCCATGGCTTTATGGGAGTTTATTTGTCGACCAATTTTTACCGAATGCTGCGGTCAATGTTATTACTAACTTTCTTCCACTTGATGACTTTTTTGGATAATATCAATATTGTATCTTTGTACGGCTTATTCAAAAGTTTATTTGAAAATCCTCTTCGTTAGTTTGATCTTCTTAATTTGAAATATTTGATATTGTAGGGATATCCTCTACAAACCTGTCGTTCTTGGTAAGGATTTATAATTAGCATTTTCTGTTACATTTATCATGTTACTGTCATCTTGTTCTCTTTTACTGCAGCATGTGGACATATATCTTGCTTTTGGTGTGTGCACAAAGCCATGCATGGGTTGCGAGCATCACATTGTGCTATTTGTAGGCAGCCTTATGTTCATTTTCCTAGTATTTGCCAATTACTCCATTTCTTGCTATTAAAACTTGAACCTGTGGCTTATAAGAGGAGGGAAATGGAAATTCTAGGTGAGCTCTTGAAATTCAAATGTCAACTTGAATTCTTATGTTGATCTCTCCATGTTTACGGAGTAAATATGCTTTTCTTTATGTTTTCCTAGTGGAAGAAAAGGCTGCTGATGTGTACTCACCTCAGTTTGCAGATCAGTTAGAGTTGGAGAAACTTCATTTTGGTAAGAGTCAAATCTATGTGTACTGGAGTATTCCTTTTTTTTTTCCAACTAATTTCTGATACAGTTCAGATGCATTTAAAGGTAATGGGAGTTCTAGCAAAAAATTTAATGATTGCAGAAGTGGAGATTTTGAACACTCAGATCTGTCAGAAGATTGCCTTGATCATACCATAAAAAGGAATATATCTGTGGATGATGTATCTTGTTCTTTGTGCAAGGAAATGTTGTATCAGCCTGCAGTTCTTAATTGTGGGCATGGTGAGCTCGGTTTATGATTGGAGTTAAAAGTTTTGGCCTTTTGGGTAGTGCCCATATTGATAATTTTTTGTACTTGTAGTATATTGTGTGTCTTGCCTATCTGACTTGAGTGGAGAACATCTTCGATGTCAAGTTTGTCAAAGTTTTCATCCTGGTGAATTTCCAAATATTTGCTTGGATCTGGATCATTTTCTCGAAGAAAGATTCCCGAGAGAGTATGCAGTGAGAAGAGAACAAGTGCAACATAAGAAAGCCCAATGCCAACATGTGAATCCCTCACCAAGTAAACTTCTCTATCTACGTTTATATTAACATATGAAAGCTCCATGTTATCTGTCTGCAAACCTAAATTGGCATAAGGCTATATGGTAATTGTGGTTTTGTCAAAATTATACATTCAGTTCTGTGAACTATCTTCTGGCATATGGTTGTTTGGGCTAAAACCAGTATGATGTATAGATTTGACTGGTACTCTAGTTGAATCCGCTAAGAGTGTTTTTAGTTCCCTCGACAATCTGTTGGATAACTGTTTTCTGAGGAGAAAGATACTGATGTCATTTATGAGATATCTGTTTCTAGGTCCCAGAGGCAACCACCTTTTCCCCCACCCCAAAAGTAAAACTTCTGCAAGCGCAAAGATCATTTTCATACCCTTCTAAGAAGATTGTACATTGCATGGGTCAACAGTTAGTTTAGCCATAAATCACTATTGGAATAATTCACTAGTGTTACATTGGATGATCTCCTTGAACTCTTGATTAATTTGGTTTCAAGAAATTATTAGGAGAATTATTTGACAAGACAAATGTTCATAAATTAACCTAAGGGTCCATTCAATAATTTAGATAAACCTCACGACATTCTTGAGTACCTGTCACCTGAAAGAACTCCTTGATCTGATGTGAAAATCAATTGAGAAAATTTTGGTTCTTGTGGACTTTCTCATTAAAAATTCCTGTGATACAGCTTCCTATCACAGGTTTGGTAAAGTTAGTCACTTGTTTCAAATAATGGAGTTCCTTTTTTTGTGCCACCAGCTTGCTGGTTTTATATTGTCTTTTTAATTTTATGAGAAATTGCCAGGTCTGGTTTCTCTAGAGAACTTCAGGAAAACTACATAATGTCATTCGAGTTAAATTGTGTGGTTGGGGATTTCTTGGATTTTTCCCTGCCCATTTGAATATCTTGTCTTAGTTGCATTTTGCCATGTTATCTTCTTTCTGTATATTTCTGGCATTTTGGCAATAAGCGGGTGTTGGTTTGTAGTTCAACTATTGACAATTAACATTGGCTTACATGGCATGATAGATGCTGTACGAAAACAAAAACCGATGGCACAGGTACCATCCGGAGGCATGGATTTATGGCTTAAGGAAGACGTGTCTGATGTTCATGTAGGAGTTGGGTGTGATTCATGTGGGGTACGTTCATCATGTCATTTCCCTTTTAACACTTTTTTCATAAACTGCTTTTAGAAGTTCATGCCAAAGCAGATCTCTTGAGTACATTCTAAATTTAATAAAGCAAAAAAACAACTGCATTTGGAATTTAGGGCGGATAAGGAAACGACTCCTCGTTTCACCGTATTTTACTTACATTTCTTTAGAATCACCACTAATGAACAATTATATTCTTCAAAACTGACTGGAGGTCATTCTCTCTCCATTGTTTATGGTTTTAGAAAGAGACCAACTTTTCTCTTTTTTGATTGAGTTGCTCAGAATGTTTAGAGTTTTTCCTTGGAATTTCCTTTTACCTCTCCCATAGTGGGGCAGTTATATGATTAGTTTCTTGGTAATTGATTACTTTAATCTCACTCGTAGATATATCCAATTATTGGAAAAAGATACAAGTGTAAAGATTGCAAGGAAGCAATCGGCTTTGACCTATGTGAAGCATGCTACAATTCCACATCAAAACTCCCCGGCAGGTTCAATCAGCAGCACACGCCTGACCATGCGTTTGAGCTTGATGAGTCACAGATGTTACGTAACATATTGATGCAGAGAGACAACCAGTTTGACATTCCTCAACAAGGTCTGGAAGTAATCTATGTCCACAGTGATGATGATCTGCATGACCATGAAAATCATGACGACGAAGGGAGCGGGGGTGAGGAGGAGTTGAGATAAAAGAGAAAAGTCTCTTGAAGTTCTTGTTGGTAGTTGTTTAGTGTCGACCAGATACCTGAAGTGAACTGTAGTACATAAATACACTCAGCTGTGCATTACTATCCATATTTCTTGCTGTAACGAATCGATGATTGTAAAGTCTCACGTCTAGTAGCAGTAATTCCAAAAAAGTGGAGGAATCCAAGCATTGCCAGTGTCTTTTCTGTCTCATGATAATAAAATTCAAGATTATATATGCTTGAAATTTGGAGGCTGATTTCTGTGTATTTTTTCTTGCGGTTGAACCATAATCTACAAGTCTGGTTCCATTTGTTGCTTTAATAATCAGTATCAGCAGTGTAAAGACAATAATATCTTTTGTGGACATCCTTTACTGATGACAAGGTTCATACATCAAAGCCTCACACAGGGTACTGAGAGATTGATCGGATCAGTCCCGTTGAACGCAGTTTCACAGCATTCCTTTTGACCCAACAATAGGAACTTAAATTTCACAGTGGAGTACTGACACTTTGATTGGTAGCGGAAACCAAGAACTGTTCTTGTGACACAGCATTTCTCCGACAATTTGTCGAACACGTGGTCGCTGATGCATTAGTTTCAGTTGACGTTTTGACCTAACACTCGAATATAAGTGTGCAAAAACAATATCATTTCTTGTGGTGCGTGACGCCCTGTGCACACATTTTAACGTAAAGCATGAAAGAAATGGTACAATCACATGCATGTGCAGGCAGGATAAGCCCGCATCCGAAACGTTAAATGCGAGGGCTGTTCTGCTCTCCATCCATGCATGTAAGTCCAAAGCCAAACGTCTGTAGACTGCAGTGAACCATCGCAATCAAAGACTCCTCTCCCTCGGTGGCCCCCTCAGAACTCATCAGAAGCCATGGTTGCGGTGGACCGAGACGGGATCCAACTCATGAATGGCCTTTTGGTGCCACCCATGGACTCACTGTTCCCTCTCTGACTCCTGAAAGGGACTTGGCCTTCGTCCCCTTCCTCCCACCGGCAAGATGAGACCTCGTCCACCATTTCTAGTAGTCCCAATCGGCAAGTGTTGCTCACGTGGGGATCCCTCCAGCTTCCTTTCGAGAATCCACTAGTAATTTTGGATGACAGGTTGGTAGAACCTTATCATGCATCAAACGATCTCTTTTGTGTTGTTCGGTGGAAGAATGGATCGAGTATATGGGCGATTTCCCAAAAGAAAACCTCATATTGTGGATTTTCTCCCAGCCAGCCATCACACTTTAATTCCTCTACTATCTCCTCTGTTCTGAACCAACCAATCAGAAATACCCATTCGGGGGGCCCCACTTCGGAGGTACGTATGCGGACGGCCGGAGTGACTTAATTCTCACAGAGGGAATCCGGTCGGGGCCCAAGTGGAGCCCACGCCGGCCGAGGAATTCGAGGGCGAAAGCGGCGACGGGCCTCGTGCCTCCCGGCTCTTCTGGTTTTTGGAGGGAAAAGAGACCGTTGGTTCGGCACGTGTGTGGGAGCCCCGCGTGTGGCGCGCGCGATTCTGGCGGGAAGCCGGTTTAGGGGCGGGAATATCCATGACTTCCCTTGTACTGCTGCTACCACTACACTCAACCCACTGAAGTCTTTCTTAGACTCGGAGAAATTACGAGGCATATGTATCATCGATTCAACTTGGAACGTCAAGTCAACACCAAGTTGTCAACTTGTTCTTCGATTGGGCGCACCAATTGGCCCAACAAGACATTCTTCTTGATGTGGATAACGGATGAGGCAGTCCGCGACTTGTCGCATGTCAAACTTGGTCCGCACGTAGACAATTGGCTGATTTGACTATCGTGAGTGTCCATCGTAAACACCACAGAGGGTATCATGTCGTGTCGTTACGTAGAACCTTTAATGTGCAATGAAGTCTATTTTGGCCTCACATGAGTGCCGGTGATGGAGAGAGAGAGAGAGAGGGATCATGTCGTGTCGTGTCGTTACACAGAGGGTATCATGTCGTGAAGCACTCATTTCCCCTGGAGAAATCCTCGAGACGGAGAGAGAGAGAGAGAGAGAGAGGGATGGCTATCCGCCGGTGTGCAAGAAGAGAATCCAATGTGAGTTGTGGTGCGGTTACATCTCAACTTTTCTTCATCTCGTTATATCATGATAGATTGAGCTGTTGTTCCTGTATTTTCTTTTTTTTTTCTCCTTTGATAATTTGATTCATCCATTCCCACAAAAAATATATATTCAGAATTAATTATCTTTAACTAAATATTTTATTTTTGAGAGATGCAATATGTTCATGCGATTGTAAACTTGAGTTACTATATTAATTTTAGTTTTATTATTAAAATATATAATTTGACGATCAAGAATGTATAATCATATCTAGAGAGTTAATGTGTCTGATAAAAAATCTTTATTTAGACATTAAAATTGATTATGTATTTATTTTATAAGTTAAACATTTGATATACATGTGAATATCATGTATATATATATATTTTTCTTTTATAATTTTATAAAAAAATATAATATATTTATAATAAAAAATTTAAACTCAATAGTAAAATATTAACATGGATACTTTAATCTTGGTCATTAATCCAACATGACATAGTTGACTCGACTTCATTCAAATTTTATGATATTTAAAATTGATAAAGAATCTATGAGATAATTAAAATTCTTCCTCCTTAACCTAGGTCAAGTCCCTCGAGAGTATATTATCAAATCAGACTCATCTTGTAACGAATGTGTTAATTTAACCGAGCATCATGGTTGGTCAAGTCCCTCGAGACCATGGTGATTCGGAGGCCGAACAGGATGAGAATCACAAGGAGTTGTGATCGGCAATAGTTGCCTACCTTTTAGGCTTAGTGTGATTGGTCGAGTCCCTTGAGGTTACACTAAGACACTAATTGGATCCTGATCCCCACTAGAAGTCTGCCGGAGACTTCCGTTTCACGTGCTGAGGGTGTCACGTGACTCGCTAGTAAAATAGTGGGAGCATATTAAGATAGAAGTCTATATCTTGATAGTTTATTTCTTGCAAAATCTGTATGTTATTCATTTCTGCTGCATCTTTATTTTTAAAAAAATATCGCTTTCAAATCCCTTACGTGGCATACTTGATGTCAACCGCCTCATTGGTCCAAATTATACAGATTGGCTCCGTAATTTGAGAATTGTTCTCACGGCGGAGAAAATCGTGTACGTC